CTTAAAATCAAAACTTAACTGGGAATTAGTGAAAGTGAGCTTCTAGTTGAAATGGGAACAATTAATGTTGGTGAAAGTCCTAAGTTTCTTGCTTGTTGTTTTTCATTGCATAGAGTTTTGAGGTTTGTTTTGTAAGGGTGGGATGCAGAAAGAAGAAAAGATCAGGGACAACCCGTAATAATTTTTTAAAGATACCATGATTTACTGCATCTTCTACATTTGTTTCAGATTAAATAGATTTATATCCACTTACAGCTGAATGTGGGAAAATTTTTAAGAGAAAAATTGTAATGTGGAGGTGTCCTTCAGGACTCTCACAGCCATAAACACTCGTGGGTGAGTAGAGGAAGCAGAGGAAAAGCTGGCTTCACCGCTTTGTTGTTCACAAAGCCTTTATAAATAGTAGTGCCTTTCAGAGGGGAGGTGGGGAGATAAAGAAGTTCATTGTATTTAGACTGACTGATACTGCAGCATTTTTTTTATGTTAAAATATCCTTTAAATGAAAACATCTGAATATAGGGTGAGGCCAGGAATGCTTGAGTTTCAACCTCAGCTATTCCTGATTCGTCCTTTCTTACAGAAAGTCTTTGTTTTTTTCTGTCCCAAATGTCCCCATTGTTGAAATGGGATGGGGGGGTGGAGAGGAGGGACTTTAATCTCATAGGAATGTTGGGAAAATAGCATAGTTGGGATGCCTAAAAAAAACACTTTGATTTTTTTTAAGTGCTACACACTGCCAGTGCTAAGAATTTTATTGATAGTAACTTTGAACATTCCAGGTTTTCAATACTCATGTTTTAGGATACCATTTGCAAACTCGTAAGATTAAATTCTGTAATTTGATTTTAATTGGAAGTGCCAGGTGCTCTTTGTCTAAATGTTATTTGGTCTTAGCCTGTAATTTCAATCATTTAAAAAGCATGTCTACAGAAAAAGGTTAGGAGACCTGATGGTCTTATGTGAATAAACCGTTTTCTCCAGTATTTCTGATGGCAGACACAGATTAGGGTGCCCTCCAAAGCAGCTGCTGCTCTCTCTTCTCAAGCTATATGCTTGGGAAACATTGACAGAGAAGAACCCAAACAGCCACTTTCCTCACTGGGAGGGCAGAAGTAAGAATAAAATATTGTCTGATATCACAACTCATTTCTTCAGAATCTCACTGGCATCCACCGTAAGAAGCAGATTACATGTACAGGTGTAGAAATGAATAGAACCGTTGGATTTTAGCGGGGAAACCTTGGATTTCTCTCTCCCTCTCTCTCTTTCTCTCTCTCTCTTTTTTAAGATACTTAAGAGTTTCTGGAGTAGCATATTTGCTTTCTTATAGTCTCCATGATTTAGTGCCCAGGAGTTAGTCCTTCCTGTTTGCTTGCCTATGTGAAAGAGCATGGAAACTTAGATTTGTGAGAACATGAGGGAGCAAATACCTTATAAACTAGGTGGTGGTCATTTCTGTGTATTAACTAAAACTTGGTCCCACAAATTTGATAGAGGAGGAAATATTGCAAACATAAGGGGTCTCTGCAGTAGGGCAAAAGTGCAAACTCACCACTCCCCTGTTTGGTTTTGAGGAATGTGGGCTTTATTCCTTTTTCTCCCGTGTAGTGTGTCTGTGGAGTCTGGGTTAGGGTAACACTGTGGGCTTCCAGTGGATTTATTCACATTATGATTGTTCTTAACTATTTAAAGTCTAGGGGTCATTTGGAAATTAACAATTAAACCTGGGGCAGGTTTAGAAAAGATAAAGTTCATACATACTCCACTAAGGGAAGCTACTGTGTTAATATTTATTTTCTAAAAACTATAAGGTTCTCAGTTGTTTCATTAATTCTAGAGGATTGGAAAGAGCTGAAATTTGTCCATAGCCCTAGACATTTTGATAGGAAATATTATTCATGTGAGAAATCTATATAGAAATAGAACACAGAAATATCATAGGCTGTATCTTCTATGAAAGGCATTTCTGCATTTTTCATATGTGTAGAAGTTAGAGGAGAGGAGAAATCCATTACTCTTAAGACAAATTTTCATCTTTAAGGGTCATTTTTGGGAAGCTTGAAATTAATACTCGTGAAAGCCTGAAATACTCATAGGCTATTGTGTTTTGTCAGCCTGTTTGTTGGGAGATTCTAAAATGTGGTCAGATTTAGTTTTATTCAAATGATTGAGATTAATTGTTTATTCAGATGCCTGTTATTTCAGAGGGTGAGGATAGCTGAGAAAAAGGTGGGTAGAGGGAAAACAGTGCAAATAAAATTTAACAAGCTAATTTGCTAGCCCAGGGATAGCTAGCATTAAGAGTTCCATCAATGCCTGACTTCTATCAAGAGATGAATCCACATCATGGAGTATTATGGGGACTGTTACCATGCTCTCAGAGACTGTGGTTATGAAGTTAACAAAACATATATCTCCTCTTACTAACTTAAGCCATATCTGTCATCTCTGTGTCTGATTTTTTTGACCCTGGTGCTTTTACTTCTGTTTCTGCCAAACTCCAGCCTGCTCTATGGGGAAGGTGAGTAAAACCAGTAGTTAGGACCAATGTGAAGACTGTGAAAAACACTAAACATACCTGTCAGAATGAGATCCTAGTCAGAAAACAGTAGTGATCAAAGTGCAAACTGTTGGAATATATGGATATATGTACATCTGTACATGTATATAGTGTATAATATGTATGTATATGTTATTGCTCATATGCAGAAATCTATCCAGTTGAAGACAGCCCAGGTCGGTCAGTTTTTCTACTGGAAAACCACTTAGAGCCATTCAAAACCATTAGGGCTGATGGGTGGAGTTAGGGTCTACTCATTTGGGAATTACTTGCTGTCCTTTAAAGTCCACAGAGCCAAGTGAACAAAGCCTGAAACATAATGGGGCCATCATTTAGGTTATCTGTTTACCTGGGGTCAGGAGTATCTTTATATTTGAATTATTAATAGTTGGTTTGCAAACTGCATTGGCACCTCTTGGTTTTGAGTGACCCATCCCCACCAAGTCTTTTGAGAGTTTGGGGTGGCTTCTCTGGCCCTTGAGATCAAGGGCCTTATCCATAAGTGGATAGGTTTCCCCATAGGGACCATTACACATATACATATAAGTACATACTTCCATCAGGCTTGTAACAATTGATTTAAAACCACTCCACAGTATTGATAAATAGCTCTATATTTTCAAGGTGCAGAAGACTTCCACAGCCTTAATTATTTCAGTGTCTTGCTGGTCTGCCTTAAGTGTATCTTCTGGGTTTTTGGTTGTCTTATTATTTTTAAAATTTTCTGCAGTTCATTTTGTATGCACACAATGTCGTTTTGTAAAGGTAGGTTGTAAATATTTTATTTGTAAGTCAAAATCACTCATGTGTAATGTTGTAAAGTGATGACCTTCTGTCTTGTTATTACTACAGTAAATGTTATAAGTCATGGATGAAACTTCAAAATGTACATCTCACAAGTTATGCATTCCTATAAATACACTATACTAAAGATATTATTTCTGGTGGTCTTTTTCTTTTCTTTCTAATTAAAACCATTGTTCAAAGGAAAGAGTAATTTTTTTTTCTCTTTCCCAAATATATGAAAGCCTTTGACAAGATGAAAATATCACATTATTATTACAACACTTTTTGCCCAGCATTTTGGAAAGAAAGCAACAATTTTGCAGCCTGGAGAAGTATCCTAAGGCATTTCCCTATCCAAAACAAAAAAAAAAAAAAAAAAGGAAAAGAGAAAAAAAGTCAAGTAAGTCTCAGGTGTGTGTTGTTAACTTCAGCCTTGTGTTCCAAATGCCAACTTTCTTAGAAAATTGTCAGGCCTTCTGAGCTGGATCTCAGAAATTTGTGCTGCTGAATCATGGTCTGCTCTCAGAATCTGGATTAGCCTATACAGATATGAACAGGTCTGGGTGAGCCACCCAAGCGTAAGTGAGGCTAGCTAGAGTATTACAGATCAAGTGTTTTGATTAGTTTACTTTGCCAATAAGAATAAAACTGTTATAAACATTTGGCTTCTTTTTCATCAAAATTTTACTGTATTTATTTGAAATGAGAAACAACGCTCAAAAGCATGGGTTCTTCATACTGGCTGGTCAGCACAATCTCTTCAGAGAACATACAGACATTAGAAATATCGAAATATAGAATCAGAATGAAATCAGAATCACTTTAATGAGTAACCATCATGAGCCCTATGGTTTTAAGGGTTATTTCCCTTAAATGTGTGCCTTCTACACATAATGGGAATTCCCCCACATTAAGAGATTTATTTGTAAGGACCAAATACGCTTGCATTTTCAGATTGGCAAGATTATCCTCCTGGATAACCTTGATACGGAGCAATTTATCCTCCTCTCTTCTCCTCCCTCCCTTCCACATCTGCTGTATACTTACAACGCGCCAAGCAGCTGAGCTATTCTAACAGGAATTAACACAAGTCCTCCTCCAGGACACAGTTCCGACAGAAGAGGTAATAAACAATTACCTAAGCGCTTTATGGTCCCATGTACGAATTGCTATGACATTGTCATGTGCCAGATGCCATGAAGTTAACAAGAATTAAGACATATCCCTGTCTTCGAGAGCTTTCAGTCTATTTTGAGAAACCAGGGTCGAGGCAGGGATGGGTACACGGAGGGAGGGAGGCGGGAATCATGGCTAACATTGGCGATTAACGACAGGCTCAGCCAGGAAGTAGATTAATTAAGGGGCCATTGCGCTACAAAGTGGGCAGGATTTACACAAACTCTCCAGAGAGCCTTGGCTTTATGACTCGGGAGTCAATCTAGGTATTCGGAACTTTGAACTCCAGCGACCCGATCCAGAGGCAGCCAGCAGAAGCACAAACGACTGCATCCACCTCGCTTCCACCACCAGACAGCCCGCGCTTTTAGACTGGCAGAGATGCGCCGTGACCGCCGGAAGTCAGGGAGGAAGAGGCGGGGCTTTCTCGGGTGACGGTATCGGGGCGCCGCAGGCCAGGCGCGCTTTGGAGTTTAGAACGGGAGCGGGAGCGCGTGGCCATGGCAGCCCAAGAAGCGGATTTGGAGTCGTTGGTAACGGGTTTGTACGACGTGCAGGCTTTTAAATTTGGGAACTTCGTACTGAAGAGCGGGCTCTCTTCCCCCGTTTACATCGATCTGCGCGGCATCGTGTCTCGACCACGTCTTCTCAGTCAGGTGCCAGCCGGGGAAAGGGGAAGCACGGGGCTGGGTGGTCGGAATGGGGTCCTGGAGGTGGAGAGGGTGAAGGAGTTGGACTGTGGATGAGAGCAAGAAAGCCGAACAGGCAGCCGACCCTACTTACTGTCGGCCTGGGGAGTCGATTTGAGAAGCCCAGAGGCCAGGCACTGTTAGGCTTTTGCGGAATGTTGATGCAAAATGAGCAAACCTTTCTTAAATTTTAAAGGAAAAGAGTTTTATTCGGACCCAAGTTAGCCGCTCTGTATACACACTCTTCACAAAGAGAGAGCTCCAGGGAAGGAACATTTGGTGCAGGGTTATACGTTTTTTCTTTTTTACATAAAGAGTTAGGAATTACCATGGCCAAAGGCATTTCAGAAAGTTACAGATTTTATCTTAGATTTTTAGTATGTAGAAGGTTGTATGACTTTATGCTTTGGGCAGAAATAGAGCCCATGCGGTGAGGATTTGCTTCCCTGGGAGCCCAGAAGCAGGGCCCACAAACAGGAAAAATTGTTTCCTTTATCAGGATGTAGAATGCAGCCTGCTCCTTGACACGCCTGCTTTGACACGTGCTTTGCAAGAGAGTCAGGAAGCCCAATTTGGGGCACTGTCCATATGAAGCCCTTAGAAAACTAGATGTGGGGATAGAGGAAAAGATGGGTGGGGGAAGAATTTTTGGAAGGGCTTAAATATTTGGAAGGACTGTTGCTTAGAAAGGATTTGATTTTGCACTTTGTGGCCAGGAGGGAGAATGAAGGCCAAAGGATGGCGTTTCGTGGAAGCACTTTTTTGGTCAGTATAAGGAAAAACTGTACAAATTAGAGGTTTCTAGCACAGTGCTTCTCAATCTCTGAGTATATTTGAATCACCTGGGAATTTTGTTAAACTGTGTAATCTGATTCAGTAGATCTAAAGCAGGGCCTGAGGTTATGTCTTTCTAACAAGCTGTCGGCCAAAGCTGCTGGCTGACCACACTGAGTAGAAGGGTTTGAATGTCCTGTCCGTTAGAGTTGCTACTAGCCTCATCTGAATACTGAACATTACGAATTTTAAAGTTGAAATAGTCACATGTGGCTAGTGTCCCATTGGACAGTGCAGATGTAGAACATTTCCGTCCTCAGGGCATTTCAGTCAAGAAGACACATATATTTCCTCCACCGCCTAAGGGTTTATTCTCATCCTTTGGGAACCCTATTTTGTGAGGTTATTTATTATACAAAGGATTGAAGCACTAGTTGAAGTGGGTTGGTCTATTCTCACCATCCAGAATCATACTGTGGTACATCTGTCTCAGTCCTGAGAAGGTAAATGACTAGGGAATCTTCTAATGAAAATTTGGCTTACGTTTTATCAAGTCAATTAGTTGATGACTAAAAATTGCTTTTAGATACTAGATCTTAGTGCGCGTGTGTGATTTTTGGTAGTTAACTCAGGAATTGAAAACGTTGAGAAACCTGGCTGTAATGGAACTCCTTTCGTATCTACTTATTTATGCGAACAGTATGTCTCAATATTTATACCCCCCCAAAACCCGATTGAATTTACACTGAACTCTGACTTCCTGGTTGTAATACTTAGCGTAAGTAAATACATAAACAGATGAGGGGGTACCATTCCTCTCACTAAGAGAAGTATTTCCAAAATAATCTATTCTTCTGCTTCTATCAAAATTTGCAAATTTTTATGTTTTAATTAATTTCATGTTTGTAGTAATTGTAATAATACATAACAGTTTTCAACACTTAAGAGATTTATGGTCATAGGAATTGTTTTAATTTACAGTTTTAAATTTGAATTTCTATACATTTTTGTCGTGGAGAAATATGATAGAGTGATCACTAAAAGTTTTCCAAGTATAAACTTAATTACATTAGAATAAAATTCTGTGCACAGTGGAATGAAAAGGAGTTCCAAAAATGTAAAATTTTCCACCTTCCTTACTGCAGCATTTTCATATTTTTTAAAAAGGAGATGTTCAGTATCAAATCACTACAGCACTTGCATCCTATTGTGTTCACTTTTAAAAGAGTGACATAGGGGCGCCTGGGTGGCGCAGTCGGTTAAGCGTCCGACTTCAACCAGGTCACGATCTCACGGTCCGTGAGTTCGAGCCCCGCGTCGGGCTCTGGGCTGATGGCTCAGAGCCTGGAGCCTGTTTCCGATTCTGTGTCTTCCTCTCTCTCTGCCCCTCGCCCGTTCATGCTCTGTCTCTCTCTGTCCCAAAAATAAATAAACGTTGAAAAAAAAAAAATTTAAAAGAGTGACATAACCGTTCTAGGAAAATATAATTTTTTAGTACTCTAGAAATTATATCTTTTGCAACTTAAAAATATTCATGGAATTTTCAAATCTTTAGAAGTATAGGTGCAAAAAATTTCGAAGACCTTATCTAGTTCACTAAGCAATTCGTGAGTGATTGCTTTCCTTTTTTTAAAAAAATAAGGTGGATGAGAGTGTGCATTCTAGCATTAAAATGTGATGATTTATGTGGCAAAGGATATTATAGGACTTCACACAGTAGGCACTGTACTTATGAAACTTTTTCTTTTTTTAACATTTTCGTATGTAAGCTTCCTGTTTGTTTTTTTTTTTTTTTTCAGTATTATTGACTATAAACTCTATGCTGTTCATTACATCTCCATGACTTATTTATAACTGGAAGTTTTTATCATTTAATCCCCTTCATGTATTTCACCTGCTCCCCCCAAACCCTCCCAACTAATAACTGATAGTTGTTATCTGTGTCAGTGATTCTGTTTGTTTTGTGTATTCATTTTGTTTCTTAGATTCCACATGTAGATGAAATCATATGGTATTGCTCTTTCTCTGTCTTGTTTAACTTAGCGTAGTAAATACCCTCTAGGTCCATCCATGTTGTTGTAAATGGCAAGATTTCATTCTTTTTTAATGGTTGAATGATATTCCATTGTGTATATGTGTGTATTGTATATATATGTGTGTGTATACACATACACCACATCTTTATCCATTTATCTACTGATGGACACGAAGGCTGCTTCCACATCTTGGCTATTGTAAGTAATGCTGTGGTGAACATAGGGGTGCATGTATCTCTTCGAATTGAAGTTTTTGTTTTCTTCACATAATTACCTAAAAGCAGAATTGCTGGATCATATCATACTTCTATTTTTAATTTTTTAAGAATCCCCATACAGTTTTCCATACTGCCTGTACCATTTTGCATTCCCACCAGCAGTGTATGAGGGTTCCCTTTTCTCCATATCCTTAAGGACACTTGTTATTTCTTGTGTTTTTGGTAACAGCCAACCTGACATGTATGAGGTGATACTTCATTGTAGTTTTCATTTGCCTTTCCCTCTTTTCATGTGCCTGTTGGCCATCTGTATGTTTTTGGAAAAATGTCTTTTCAAGTTTGTGCCTGTTTAAAAAATGTTTTTATATTGTGTAAGTTCTTTATATATTTTGGACATTAACCCCATATTGGATATATGATTTGCAAATATCTTCTCACACTAAGTAGATTGCCTTTTCATTTTGTTGATAATTTCCTTCACTGCACAAAAGCTTTTTAGCTTGATGTAGTCCCATTTGCTTATTTTAGCTTTTCTTGGCCTTGGCCTGAGGAGACTGGTCCGATTACTAGGGGCACCTGGGTGGCTCCGTTGGTTAAGTATCTGATTCTTGATATCTGCTCAGGTCATTATCTTGGGCTCTGCGCTTACAGTGCGGAGCCTGCTTGGGATTCTCTCTCTGTCTCTGTCTCTCTCTCTGTCTCTGTCTCTCTCTCTCTCTCTCTCTCTGTCTCTCTCTCTGTCTCTCTCTCTGTCTCTCTCTCTGTCTCTCTCTCCCTCTGTCTCTCTCTCCCTCTGTCTCTCTCTCCCTCTGTCTCTCTCCCTCTCTCCCTCTCTCCCCCCTCTCTCCCCCCTCTCTCCCTCCCTCTCCCTGCCTCTCTCCCTGCCTCTCTCCCTCCCTCTCCCTGCCTCTCCCTCTCCCTCCCTGCTTTTCCCTCTGCCTCTCCCTCTCCCTCCATCTCCCTCTGCCTTCCTGTGTCTGCCCCTTTCCTGCTCACTCTCTCCCAAAATAAACAAACATTAAAATACATTAGTAAGGCCAGTGTTAGAGCTTAATTGATTTTGAAGTGTAATTGACATACATTATATTAGTTTCAGGTGTTAACAGTTCAGGTGTTATATTAGTTCAGTATATTAGTTTCAGGTGGATATTTGCATGTATTGTTAAATGATCACAGCAAGCCTAATTAGTGTCTTTCACCACACATAATTTTCTTCCTAATTGAAGTTGAAATATTAGATTAGTATCAGGTAAACAACATACTGATTCCACATTTAAATACATTATGAATAGCTTACCATGGTAAGTGTAGTTACCAACTGTTGCCTTACAAAATTAATGAAATAGCATTTATTCTCTATGCTGCACTTTACACCCCCATGACTTATTTATGTTCTAACTGGAAGTTTGTATCACTTAATTCCCTTCACCTGTTTTTCCCATAGCCCTATCCCCTTCTCTGCAACCAACAGTTCACATTCTATATTTATGAGTCTGTTTTGTTTTGCTTTTTAGATTCCATATATAAGTGAAATCATTTGGGTTTTGTCTTTCTCTGTCTAGCTTCACTTTGCATAACACGCTCTAGGTCCATCCATGTTATCACAGATGGCAAGATTTCATTCTTTTTTAGGGCTGAGTAATATTCTGTTGTGCATATATACAACATCTTTATCCATCTATCAGTGGACACTTAGGTTGCTTCTATATCTTATCTATTGTAAATAATGTTGGGGTGCATTTTCTTTTCAAATTAGTGTTTTCATTTTCTTCAGGTAAATACCCAGAAGTGGAATTACTGGATTGTATAGCATGTCTGTTTATAATTTTTTGATGAACTTCCATACTGTTTTCCGAGTGGTTGCCGCAGTTTACATTCCTACCAACATTGCATTGCACGGCATTGCACGAGGGTTCCCTTTTTCTCCCCATTGTCTCCAGCTGCTGTTTTTTGTCTCTTTGATAGAGGCATTCTGACAGGTGTGAGGTGATCTTCTCATTGTGGTTTTGATTTGTATTTCCTTGACTAATGATGTTGAGGATCTTTTCACTTGCCTATCAGCCATCTGTATGTCTTCCTTGAAGAAATGTGTATTTGGGTCCCCTGCCCATTTTCTAATTGGATTGTTTGTTTTGTTGGTGTTGTGTTATAGGAGTTCTTTATACAGTTTGGATATTAACCCTTTATTGGATATATCATTTGCAGTTATCCTCTCTGATCACTAGGTTTCCTTTTTGCTTTGTTGATGGTTTTATTTGCTGTGCAAAAAGCTTTTTATTTTGATGTATTCCCAATTGTTTATTTTTGTTTTTGTTGCCTTTGCCTGAAGAGACAGATCAAAAAAATATTGCATAAAAATTAAATCTTTAAAAAGAAAAAAAGGAGGGGGGTCCTGGCTTGCTCATTCCATAGAGCATGTGACTCTTGATCTTGAGTTTGAGCCCCATGTTGGGTGTACAAATTGCTTAAAATCTTAAAAAAAAAAAAAAAAAAAAGACATTGCTAAAACTCTTGTCCAAGAGCTTATTGCCACTGTTTTGTTTTAGGAGCTTTATGGTTTCAGGTCTTACATTTAGGTCTTTAATTCATTTTGAGTTTATGTATGGTGTGAGAAAGCAGTCTAGTTTAGTTCTTTTGCCTGTAGCTGTCCAGTTTTCCCAACAGCATATATTGAAGAGACTCTCTGTCCTCCACTGTATATTCATTCCTCCTTTGTTGTAGATTAATTGATCATATATGAGTGGGTTTATTTCCAGGCCCTCAGTTCCACTGATCTGTGTATCCACTTTTGTGCCAGTACCTTACTGTTTTGGTTACTTTAGCTTTGTACGATAGTTTGAAGTCTGGGATTGTGATGTCTCTAGCTTTGTTCTCCTTTCTCAAGATTTCTCTGGCTATGCGGGAGTCTTTTGTGGTTCCATACATATTTTAGGATTATTTATTCTAGTTCTGTGAAAAATGCTGTTGGGATTTTGGTAGCGATTTCACTGAATCTACAGTTCCCTTTGAGGAGTATGGACCTTTTAGCAAGAATTAATATTGCTAATCCATGAACATAATATATCTTTTCATTTATTTGTGTCATCTTCAATTTCTTTTCATCAGAGTCTTACGGTTTTCAGTGTACACCTTTCACCTTCTTGGTTAAATTTATTCCTAGGTATTTAATTCTTTTTGATGCGATTGTAAGTGGGATTGTTTTCTTGATTTCTCTTGTGTATAGAAACACCACAGCTATCTATATATTGCTTTTGTATCCTTCAACTTTACTGAATTCACTTATTCTAATAGTTTTTTTGGTGGAGTCCTTAGGTTTTTTTCCTTTTTTAAAAATTTTTACTTGAAGTATGGTTGACATATTAGTTTCGGGTATACAGCATAGTGATTTGACAGTTATATGCATTGTGAAATGTACACCACAGTAAGTGTAGTTACCATCTGTCACTGCACAAAGTTCTTATGATATTATTCATTGTATTCTCTGTGCTGTACTTTTCTTCCCAGTGACATTTATTTTAAACCCTCAATTCCCTTCAGCTATTTCTCCTACCCCACCCCCCACCCCACTCTGCTCTGGTAACCACCAGTTATCTATATTTATGAGTCTTTTTTTTTTT